TCATCAAATTTAGAAATTTTTCAGACATTATTTCTTCTAATATTTTTCTTTCCCTTCTCCCACATTTCCTCTGGGACTCTGATTACAATAATTAATCATTTGATATTGCCCCGCAGCTCACGTAGGCTTTGTTTGTTTTTCTTCTCTCTCTGCTTTATTCTGGATAGTTCTTTTTTTTTTTTTTTGAGACAGAGTCTTGCTCTGTCAGCCCAGGTAGAGTGCAGTGGCCTGATCATAGCTCACTGCAACCTCAAACTCCTGGGCTCAAGCGATCCTCCTGCCTCAGCCTCCAGAGTAGCTGGGACTACAGGCATGCACCGCCATGCCCGGCTAATTTTCTCTATATATTTTTAGTTGTCCTACTAATTTCTTTCTACTTTTAGTAGAGACGGGTTCTAGCTCTTGCTGAGGCTAGTCTCGAACTCCTGACCTTGAGTGATCTGCCCCTCCTGGCCTCCCAGAGTGCTAGGATTACAGGCAGGAGCCACCGCCCCCTGCCCCAGGGTTGATTCCTTTGTGCAGATTACAGGCAACTCAATTTTCGGTGTTGTGTTAAAAAGCACACGGAGAGAGCAAAATCTAGAAAGATATACACTGGAATATTATCAGTAGTTATTTTGGGGAAGTAGAATGAACTTATTTTTTGCCTTATTTTTGCCAATCTAGATTTTATCACTTTTTCCATAGTGAGCATGCCTTTCCGATGAAAAATAAAGAATAGCTGCTATTTATTGCAAACAATGGGCCCAGTACCGTGTTGAGGGATTCACTTACATGAGCTCATGGAACCCTCATGACAATTCTATGAGGTAATTACTGTCTCCATTTTGCAGTAAACACTCAGACCTTGCCTAAGGTCATACGGTCAGTATTTGGTAGTTCCTGGATTTAATCTTCCAGCTGCTTGACTCTCAAGGGATTCAGATTTCGGTTAAGTGTGGCGGGCGGCCTGACAGACAAGTTCTGGAAGACTCCCTCGAGTTACCCAGGGCTGGGAAATGCAGCCATCTCTGCCCACCACATGGCATCATCATGCACAAAACATCTCATGTCTCCATGCCAAACCCTGCTCTCAGCTGAAAAGTATTCTACATCCGTCATGTATGAAGCATGATGCTGGCACAGAACATGTACCTGACAAGTACACCTCTCTCTCCCGCTTGCTCCTTGGAGCTAAGGCTTGGGAGTCCATCATGGCAACAGGAGTAGCTTCCCAAATAATGTCTGCAGCTCCACCCTAATTCCCCTTCCAGGCTTTTCTCCTCTTAGGAGCTATTCGAGCCACCAAGTTTTGCTCAGCTCCCACTATATGCCAGAAACCTCGGGACACAACAGTGCATCCAAACAGACAAAAATGCCTGCCCTCATGGAAATGATAGTTGGAGGTTTGCAAGGAGATTTTTTTTAAAAAAACAAACAAATAAGATAGGCTGGGCATGGTGGCTCATGCCTGTAATTCCAGCACTTCAGGAGGCTAACGCAGGAGAATCACTTGAGGCCTGGGGTTCCAGACTAGCCTAGGCAACACAGCAAGATCCCATCTCTACAAAAATTTTAAAAATTAGCCAGACATGGTGGTGTGTGCGCCTGTAGTCCCAGTCGGATGACAGAGTGAGACGCTCTCTCAAGAAACAATAAATAAGATAAAAAAGAAGATAACTAGTCTATGGCCTGTTTCTGTACAGCTACAAGCTAAGAAGGGCTTCACATTTTTAAATGGCTAGAAAAGGTCAAAGAAAGAATGTTTTATGACATCTGAAAGCCATATGAAATTCTAGTTCCGTGTCCATAAATAAAGTTTTTTTGTATTGTTTTTTTAATTCCTTTTTCTTTTTTTTTTAATCTTTTTTTTTTCTGGCAAAGACTAAGCTGTACATAAATAAAGTTTTATTGGATCCCAGCTATATTCATTTGCTATTTGTTGAATTTAATGAATAAATGAATAATGTACAGTCATTTTCCACTTTTTACATTCTGCATTCTCCACCCCAATACCTACCAATATACCACCTAAATGCAGTTTTGGGAGAAGGCTCTGGGCTCAGTTGTAGGCGTGAACCCTAGACACGCATGCAGCAACTGTGAAGACTTGGGAACACATTGCGTCTTCCACCAGGAGGGCAGGATGGAACATTCCCGAGTCTGGGCAGCTTTATAAGATGATCAGGACGTGCCACTAAAAAATAGCATAAGGTAAGGGGGAGGGGAAGGCAGTTGTTGGACAGACCCTTTCCAGTTCCTTGTCTGTCTGTCCTATCACTGCAGGAGAAGGGGTTTGTTCTTGGGTGTTCAGCAAAGCAAGTTTTGGTATCTTTCTGCATGGGCTAAAACACACAGGACAGGAGGGGAGATTTTCCAAGGATATCCGAGTTGCAGCCAAACAAAGTGACTTTCTGTAGGTCTCTGCCAACAAGGAGAATCAGCTTTCACCTATTCCTAAAATAAAAGTCCCTGGGAGAAGGAAAAACAGAGGGGGAAATTTAGCAGTTATGTTGAAAGGACAGAATTTAGAATGGCAGCTTCCTGAAACACAACAGGGGGTTTTCAGGGCAGTGAAACTATTTTGTACGATAGTGCAAGGGTGGATGCGTGTCATTATGCATCTGTCAAAACTCACAGACCTGAACAACACAGAGTGAACCCTAATGTAAACTATGGACTTAGTTGCTATTATATATTAATAGTTACCAATGTATTAATATTGGCTTAACAAGTGTATCAAGTGTTCTGTCTTCAATGGCAGAAAAATAAAGTGTATCAAATGTACCACACTAATGCAAGATGTTACTCAGAGGGCAAACTGCTGCAGGGTAGGGTGGGGGTGGAGAAAAGGGCATTTGAACTTTCTGCACTGTCCAATTTTCTGTAAACTAAAACTGCTCTAAAAATAGTCTATTAATTTAAAAATAAATAAATGCTTAAAAGGCACTCTGTTTAATGAGTACAAAAATTAGAAAGAAAATGACCCTCTATTTCCCTATTGTGTGAATAGGAAATAGAAACTGTTTTTTTTCTTCTCCACTTAACTCTCTGTAGCATAGAAACATTTTTAGGCATACATATATATATATAATATCTCTTGAGAGAGTGAAAGGTGGAAAACAACGCCAGCTACCATTCTTTAATTTGGAATTGATCCACTGTTCTTGAGTGTGAACAGTATGTGGCTTTGCTGTTGTCACTGTTGCTTTTTAATGTTAGTATTTTGTTATCCCAAAGAAAGCTCTCAGAGCACTGAGACTCTTAAAAGACGATATCAAAATGTTTCAACGACCGACAAACCTCAGACTTCCTGTATTTCTGTAACTTGCCATTTTCCCTTCCTTCTTCTTTTAATTTGTTAATGATCTCTGGGGCCACAGGCTGTCCCTGTGACAGGTCTCTAACTAGATCAGTGGATCAAAGGTGAGGCTTCGCTAAGTAATCAGTGTAATTTCACCCGTGTAGCAAGCTATTAAAAACAGACCTGCAGGGTTTAAGGACAACCAAGGTATTGATTTGGCAACCAAAAACTCCCGTCGTGCAAGCAATAATATATCAGGGGCCAGTGTTTCCACATTGTCACTGTTCTTTTCTCCCGTCTGTCCCTACTGAAATCCTTAAAGTCTCAGCTAAGGCAAATACGCCTGCCTCAAGAAAGGAATGTCACTGTCACAAATTAGACAAGGGAAGAGAAACCTCATTTCTTTGACAAGCATTTTTTTTTTTATTAGAGATTAATTTTCCCATGCACAGTTGCTCTTCCCGGTCATTATACCTTTATGTGGGCTTGCTTTCTTTCTTTTTTTGTAAAGAACATACTTCTTATGTAATTTGTTTTGCATTTCTGGAATGAGGAACCTTTTCTGCTCACACTGTTGTTCAAAATCTAGGAAAGATGCCTGCCCGCCTGTGTGATAGATCACCCTGAGCCTTGGAAGGAAATGATTCACCACAATACCGTGACGGAAAGTGTTCTAACACCAGGGCTGGAAGGCAGGTTATTAACTGTGTTACCTGCGCCCCGCAGCCTCTCAGCCTTGCCTGGGGAGGTTCCCTCCGCCCAGCCGTGCCCGCCACCCAGCCTCACCCGCCTGTCAGCTTTGTTCCTGTTCTGTTTCCTCTGTCCAAGCAGCAAGATGCTGGGAACTCATCCTCCATTTTTTTTTTTTTTTGAGACAGAGTCTTCTGGTTCTGTTGCCCCGGCTATCATGCTGTGGCATCAGCCTAGCTCACAGCAACCTCAAAATCCTGGACTCAAGCGATCCTCCTCCCTCAGCCTCTGGAGTAGCTGGGACTATAGGCATGTGTCCCAAAGCCCAGCTACTTTTTTTTTTTTTTTCTATTTTTAGTTGCCCAGCTAATTTATTTCTATTTTTTAGTAGAGATGGGGTCTTGCTCTTGCTGAGGCTGGTCTCGAACTCCCGGCCTCAAATGATCCTCCTGCCTCAGCTTCCCAGATTGCTAGGATTACAGGCATGAGCCACCATGTCCGGCCTCATCCTCGATTCTTAATTTTTGAAAGACACCTACAAATTTGAGATTTTTAATAAAGCCACATCTGTCCAAATGGGCCTTCCCAGGCTACTATTTTATAATTTTGCACTAAAATTTTTATTTAAAACAAAAATATGCATTAAACCAATATGTGGGAAAAGTGAATCTAACATAACTATTACTAATAAGTCAAACAATAAAAACAAAATAGTGAAAAAACTAAAAAGGAAAAATACGTGTTTTATTTCCCTCTCCATGTTTGTGGTGAAGGCAGATCACAGATATGCTCATATCAGAAACGACAGAAGTTCATTATTCTTATGAAAAGTGACATGAAATATTTCTCATCTTCCTTTATTTAGTTACAGTTCAAAATTAAAAACTGATCGTTATTGATGAGAAATCATCTGAATATTTTACATATTGAGATTCAAGTTGTTACTTTCATTTCACTTATTCTGTGTGGAAGCAACTAGATTTGTTCCACATGTTTTGAATAAATATGTTAATATGCTTTTTTTTTACCTATTTGAAGTATAAAAAATATTTTTAAGTGGATTCCCTCCACTCCCTACCCCCACCAGAGTTAGTAAAGATCTGTGGAAATGGACACATACATTTAGTGGGTAAACTAGCCTTGAAGATTTTGTAACTCTTTGGCAGGCACATGGATGGTATATCTATTGAAATGCAAACTGTGCATACTCTTTAACTCACAAATTCCACTCCTAGTCATTTAGCCTATAAATTCATTTCCACAAACATGCAAATATATGAAATGCGAAGGTGCTCCTGGTATTATTGTAATAGTGGAAAATTTTTTTAAAAATTAATATCCAGGGCCGGGCGCGGTGGCTCACGCCTGTAATCCTAGCTCTCTGGGAGGCCGAGGTGGGCGGATTGCTCGAGGTCGGGAGTTCAAAACCAACCTGAGCAAGAGCGAGACCCCGTCTCTACTATAAATAGAAAGAAATTAATTGGCCAACTAATATATATAGAAAAAATGAGCCAGGCATGTTGGCGCATGCCTGTAGTCCCAGCTACTTGGGAGGCTGAGGCAGAAGGATCGTTTGAGTCCAGGAATTTGAGGTTGCTGTGAGTCAGGCTGATGCCACAGCATTCACTCTAGCCTGGGCAACAAAGTGAGACCCTGTCTCAAAAAAAAAAATTAATATCCATCAACAGACTGGTTATAGAAATGATGGGCTATTTACCACGTGGAATACTATGCAGCCATTAAGAGGAATAAAATAGACATGTAATGACATGGCTCACTAGCCAGGATTGCATTACCTGCCTATTTCTAAACCAAGGGTTCTCAACCAGGGGACATTGGACAATGTCCAGAGACACTTTGGTTGTGACACAAGAGGGATGGGAAGAGTGATATTGCTACTGGCATCTCGTGTGTAGAAGCCGGGGCATTGCTATAAATATCCTACAGTGCACAGGACAGCCCCTCACAGCAAAGAATCATCTGGTCCCAGATATCGATATTTCTGAGGTTGAAAAACCCTGTTCTAAACCGATCACTGGCAAGAAGAATGGAACACCCAGAACTGTATGTGTAGATTAATGAACTTTTTACCTTTTGGACAGCGGACAGTCAAGTTTCCTCTCTGAACATATAACCTCACAGTATCTGAAAAGAGCCGGGTTTCTGCAAGCAAGGAAGAACAGGAGAAGCTGACTGCATCGTGCAAGCAGCCAAGTGTCTGCCACACATATCTACATAGGAAATACAGGGAGAGCAATATGTAAACAAAGAACGTTTTCATATGTATATAAAAGATTGAAAGGCAATGCACCAAACTGTTCAGGTTATTGGCCGGAAAGAGGTAGAATTTCCTTTTTTGCACTGCTTCATATTTTCAAAACTTTCCTGTAATGATTATGTCTTTTATCACACACAAAAAAAGACTTCTAAAAATATTTCAGTAAAATTTAGGTATAAATCTGGCAACGGTTACAGTTTTTTGATTTCTCTCACTATGCTGCTCTTTTCTAACGTCAAACTGATAACATTTAAAACTTAGAGCCAATGTGTATGTGAAACCTGAACTAGTATATATGACGCTTCCTGGCGTACGCTGGATTTCCATGATTACAACCGAAATTGAGTTAGGCCAACACAAATACCCAGGAGGTTTTCTTTATTTCTCACTTGGGATCGTCTTATTTTTCCATACACAGCATGGAATGGAAGGAGGACTGAAACGGGAGTTAGAAAGCTTGGCTTCTAGAACAGCTAGGCATGAGAAATTGGGCAAGTTATCATTTATTCATCGCAATGATAAATAGCCACCACTTACATACAGCCTAATCCACGCCGGGCACTGTTCTATGAATTTGAGAGTGCTCACAGCCACGCCCTGAGGTAGGTACTGCCACCGTCCCCACTCCATACAGGTGGACACGGAGCCCTAGCATCTGTGCCAAGGTTACAGAGCTAAGTGGAGAGCCAGGGATTTGAACCCAGGCACTCTGGGCCCAGCTGCGTCATCGGCCCATGCTGCATGCTGGGTAACTGCACTTGGCCTTCTAACTCGTCACCTACCTAGGGCCTTGGTCCACAACAATCCCTCCTGCACTCATTTCTCTAAAACACAATTCCTGTCACTCCCCGTCTTCCCACTGCAGCCTGGGGACTGCTGCCAGCAGCGGCCTCCCGCTGGCTCTCGCGTCAGCGTTCAGTGATGCTCATTTGCATAATAGGGAAAATGGGTGTTCAAATCCCAGCTTCGATAGTCACTCGCTGTGGGACTGGGGTTAAGCTACTTACCTTCTGTCCAGCTTCATTTTCCCCACCTAAAATGGGACAGAGACAGGCGCACTGGCACGAGCCTGTAATCGCAGCTATTCAGGAGGCTGAGGTGGGAGGATCACTGGAGCAGGAGGGTTCAAGACCAGCCTGGCCAACATATCGAGACCCCATCTCAAATAAAAAATAAATAAATTGAGTCACACATTTTATAAAACGACGACGAAATAAATAAATAAGATGGGGTGATGATAGTAACAATAGTACTGGTCTCAAGGGTGGGCTGTGACAAATGAATGACTTAATTCATCTAAAGCAGGTCTCAGCTGTCCACAGCCTTTGGGCAAATCTGGGCAGCTGCCTGTTTCTGTCAGTAAAGTTTTATTAGAACACAAGGCCCATTCATTTACATATTGGCTATGGCTGCTTTCCCACTACTAGTTGAATAGTTGAGACAAAGACCTCCTATGACTCACGCCTGTAATCCCACACTCTGGGAGGCCAAGGCAGGAGGATCCCTTGAGCTCAGGAGTTTGAGACCAGCCTGAGCAAGGGTGAGACCCCATCTCTACTAAAAATAGAAAAATTAGCTGGGCATGGTGGCATGCACATGTAGTCCCAGCTACTCGGGAGGCTGAGGCAGGAGGATTGATTAAGCCCAGGAGTTTGAGGTTGCTGGGAGCTAGGCTGGTGCCACTGCACTGTAGCCCAGCGCAACAGAGCAATACCCTATCTCAAAAAAATTTTTTAATCACATTAAATATTATTTATCTCAATCACTGAGGTTTTTTGGCATCCTTGAATTCTCGTGCCTCAGTTGGTACTGGCCCTGGGTAAAGAACCAAAATTCATCAGCCTGAGCAAGAGCGAGACCCCATCTCTACTAAAAATAGAAAGAAATTAGGTGGCCAACTAAAAATATATAGAAAAAATTAGCCGGGCATGGTGGTGCATGCCTGTAGTCCCAGCTACTCGGGAGGCTGAGGCAGGAGGATCACTTGAGCCCCAGAGTGTGAGGTTGCTGCGAGCTAGGTGGATGCCACAGCACTCTAGCCCAGGCAACAGAGTGAGACTCTGTGTCAAAAAAAAAAAGGACCAAAATTCAGACCCAGATCATCTGATGTTAGACCCTGGTTTCTAAATTTATCACAGTTTAGTACTAATGAACTTGTTTGCTCTATTGATCACTGTCAGGTTTTCCCGAGTAACATATAAGCTCTGGGAGGGCAGGGGAATGGTCCATCTCACTCACCATCGTATCACTAGTGGTTAGAACAGAACCAGCTTCTACTTTCCACAAATAGCTGTGAGCACCTGCTAATTGTCCTATTAGATGTCGTATTAGGCGCTGGAATACAGCTGTGAGCAAGTATTACTGTCTTTGCATGAACAAGTGAAAAATAAATAAATCCAGCAAGGCCATGTTGGGTGAATAGTGATATTAACATGGTTATCTGCACTGATTGTAGAAAAAAGAGGTTAATGCAAAACAACTGGCTAATTCCCAAACTACTCCATATTTGGTGTTTAGGTACTTTTCTTTCTGTCTGTCTTGTATCAACAGTAAAAACGAGCCTAAAGACCCAGGACCAGGCAGCATTGGGGGGGGGGGCAGCCCACGAGTGAGCTGCAGGACAGCTGGGGGAGACCAGCTCACCAAATGTGGAGGAAAAGCTGCAAAGCTGATCACTCTCTTGGGCCTTGCCTCTGGTTAAGTGCTGCTTGGAAGTTCACATTCTTCCCTTAAAAACAAAATGCCCACTGAGGGTACTTCGAATTGCCGGTGCTGGGAACTGGTATGAGACAGGGTCCCACTTTCAACTCGGTAGTTAGCTAATTTCAGCCTGGGTGGTGAGCTGCGGACACCTCCTCCATTCTTTCTCTGCCCTCTTTCCTACTCTGCTTCCACTCAACAATGCACCAACCTGTATTCAGGTCCCGATTCCATATTTCGTCTGCTCTAAAAGCTATCTGTGCCAGGGTTTTCAGCCATTAAAACATATTATTTGGGCCTGGCGCAGTGGCTCATGCCTGTAATTCTACCACTCTGGGAGGCTGAGGCGGGAAGATCGCTCAAGGTCACAAGTTCGAAACCAGCCTGAGCAAGAGCGAGACCCCATCTCTACTAAAAATAGGAAGAAATTAATTGGACAACTAAAAATATATAGAAAAAAATTAGCTGGGCATGGTGGCGCATGCCTGTAGTCCCAGCTACTCGGGAGGCTGAGGCAGGAGGATCACTTGAGCCCAGGAGTTTGAGGTTGCTGTGAGCTGGGCTAACGCCATGTCACTCACTCTAGCCTGGGCAACAAAGCGAGACTCTGTCTCAAAACAAAACAAAACAAAAACAAACACATTATTTGAAGTTTGCAGAATGTGTTTACATCTCATTTTATGATCATTATAGCTTCAAAAATAATAAAAGATAGCAAAGTAGGTCTCCTCCTCCATCGACCAACCCCCCTCCATGTAATTGCAAGCCAGCTGAATGGCTTTCCAATATTACATAATTACTTGCATTCTAACTGAAATTGCAGAATACTGAAAAAGTAAATTGGGGCCATTTTAAATTGGCAATGTGCCTGAAGTTTCATTACTTTTTAATTTCTTCTGATTGTTATGTCATGACTATTATATTTCATGATCATGAATTATAAAATACATAACTTTATATTTTGCAAAGAACCTACTATGTTCAGGGCCTTTGCCGTACCCAGATAAAGAAAGAGTAATACATGAAAGCTAAGTTTTGAGTGTACTTAACATATAAATAAAAGGTATCTTCCAGATGCAAGGAGCTGTGCTAAATATTTTAGATTACTGGTCAGCAAACATTCTGTAAAGCATCACATAGTATCTATATTAGGCAGGCCTGAGAGATTAGGGTGAGGAGAGTGAAGTGAGCCATGCAAAAGTCTCTCAGTTCTTGTCGCTAGATCCACAAAATGGGATAACAACAGTAACAGCTTTTTAAGGTTTTGTGAAAATTTGTTCGGGACTTCACACAGTCACCTGCCACGCAAAAAGAACTCATTAAATGCTTGTTGTTATTATTTTCTTACTTTTACCAATGCTATTAAACCTATGATGGTCCATTATGGAACACTTAACCAATAACATTAAAATAATTTCAGAAAACTAACTGAGCTAGTTACTGTATTTCATTGAACCTAAAACATCATCACTTATGAGAGGCTCCATTATTTTATGGACTATGAAGAGAGAAATACTTTCAAATATAATTGCAAGATGCCATTGATTGAAAAATACTGATTTTTAGTTATTTTAAAATGTAAAAACTTAGTCATTTATTTTTATGGAGAAAAAACTTTTTTTACATTACTTTTGGTACCTTAGAATTGATAAGATAGAGTACGGGGCTAACTCAAGTTCATGACAATGAAGCATAAATGTGTGTATCAAAGATTTTCCATTTTTAAAAAGTTCAGTGTTCAAACAAACATTTTTAGAAATTTTGACTAGTCCAGAATATCAAAATTCTAAGATCCCTGTAGCATATAGGCTAATCCTATTTAATAATGAAGATTGTTGAATGAAAAAATAGACAAATGAAAGAATTAGTTAAAGGTGCAATGAATGGAAAAGAGCCTATACTGATTTTTTATTTTTATTTTTTTTAATAATTTTTCTTCCATCTATGATTGTAAATTAATGGCAGAAAAGAGCTTATAGTCATAAACGGCAACAGAAACCATGTAAAACAACCAACCACAAGCGCCATGGAGACAGTACATGGAAAATTATGTTGATACAAAAATAAGAGCATCTTGGGTAGATATTTTATTAATTAAAATAGCAGTTCCTTTTGGCGTAAATGATCCAAAGTAAAAATAACTAAGCAAATAAATAAAATTGCAATGTCGATGCAATACCTCAATTACTTGGGATGTTTTAGGATTCTATGACATTTTGACATAATCACACTATATATGATAAAAATCTACTTATCTATTGAGCACCTGTCCTGTCTCTATCTTGTAGAGGTAAGTTGGCAGTTATTGTTTTTAGGAGGCAGATCTTAATAACCATAGAAGGAATGAATTCTGTACACGTGGGAGCCTGAATCCAATTCTCCGGCATACACAATACAGTCCACTTATTGGTGAGCCTGGCACAGCTGGGTGGGACCTGAGCAAAACGTCCAGGCACAAAGACTTTAATGAGTTGATTCCCAGTGACTTGCCTTGGAAGTGGCATTGTACCACTCCTAGCATTTTAAACCCATTCCTGGCCTTTTAAGGGTAGGGTTTTTTTCGTTTTAATTCTTCCTCACTCCGGTGCATGTTTCCACTACGAAGGACGCATCTCTGTGGGGAAGGGGAAGTGGGGACCACAAACATACAGCTGCTAACAGGCAGCCCTCCACTGCTGATCATTTAACTGGATCAAATCGCTTGAGCATCATCTTTGACTGAATACACTAGAAATTTCATAAAATCGATATCTGTGTTGTCAATATGACTTATTTGAGCCACATCCATCTCATGGATGGGTGTGATTTAAAAAAACAAAACAAAACTCATTTACTCAATCCAATGTTCAACTTCAGGAAAAGATTTGTCTTTTTTTTTCTTTTCTTTTTTTCCTTTTTAAATTTTTTAATTTTTTGAGACAGAATCTTGCTTTGTTGCCCAGGATAGAGTGAGTGCCGTGGCATCAGCCTAGCTCACAGCAACCTCAAACTCCTGGGCTCAAGCAATCCTCCTGCCTCAGTCTCCCGAGTAGCTGGGACTACAGGCATGCGCCACCATGCTCGGCTAATTTTTCCTACATATATTAGTTGGCCAATTAATTTCTTTCTATTTATAGTAGAGATGGGGTCTTGCTCTTGCTCAGGCTGGTTTTGAACTCCTGACCTTGAGCAATCCACCTGCCTCGGCCTCCCAGAGTGCTGGGATTACAGGTGTGAGCCACCGCGCCTGGCCTACTTTAGGAAAATATTTGTATTACTCCACACAGAGAGAATATTCATAGACAGCAAGCATCCTTTCAAAAGGATTGGGCCTGGAGGGGCCCGGTGGCTCACACCTGTAATCCCAGCACTCTGGGAGGCCAAAGCGGGAGGATCTTCTTGAATTCAGAAGTTCGAGACCAGCCTGAGCTCTTGCTCTCAAACACCATCCCTACTAAAAATAGAAAAATTAGCCAGGTGT